AAGAGCCAGCATGGTCTTGTAAATGGAAATCATGCCTCACCAATCCATTAGAATTATTTGAGGGTGTCAACAAGCATGTGGACAAGGGTGAGCCAGTCGACACAATGTACTTGGACTTTCAGAAAGCCTTTGACAAGGTCCCACACCAAAGTCTCTTAAGCAAAGTAAGCTGTCATGGGATAAAAGGGAAGATCAGTAACTGGTTAAAAGACAAGAAACAAAGGACAGGAATAAATGGTCAGTTTTCAGAATGGAGAGCGATAAATAGCGGGGTCCTCCAAGCATCTGTACTGGGACCATTGCTGTTCAACATATTCATAAATGATCTGGGAAAGGGGGAGAACAGTGAGTTGGCACAATTTCCAGATGATACAAAACTACTCAAGATAGTTAAGTTCAAAGCTGAATGCAAGACTTACATAGGGATCTCACGACACTGAGTGACTGGGCAACAAAATGGCCGATGAAATTCAGTGTTGATAAGTGCAAAGTAATGCACATTGGAAAACATAATCCCTACTATACATACAAAACGATGCGTTATAAATTAGCTGTTAGCACTCAAAAAGGATTTTGGAGTCATAGTGGATAGTTAAGAACATAAGAACGGCCATATTGGGTCAGACCAAAGGTCCATCTAGCCCAGTATCCTGTCGTCCGACAGTGGCCAATGCCAGATGCCCCAGAGGGAATTAACAGAACAGGTAATCATCAAATGATCCATTCCTTGTCACCCATTCCCAACTTCTGGCAAACAGAGGCTAGGGACACCATCCCTGCCCATCCTGACTAATAGCTACTGATGGACCTATCCTCCATGAAAACATCCGCTCAGCCTGCAACGGCAGTCAAAACAAGCTAACAGAAAGTTAGGAATCATTAGGAAATGGATAGATAAAACAGAAAATATCGTAATTCCACTATATAAATCCATTGTATGCCCAAACCTTAAATACTGCATATAGTTCTGGTTGCCTCATCTCAGAAAAGATATATTAGAATTGGAAAAGGTGCAGAGAAGGGCAAAAAAAGTGATTGGGGTATGGAGGAGTTCCATGTAAGGAGAGATTAAAAAGACTGGGATAGTTCATTTTAGAAAAAAAGATAACTGGGGATGGGGAGGGAATATGATAGAGAAAGTAAGTGTTATTTACTGCTTACATAACACAAGAACTAGGGGTCATCCTATGAAATCAATAGGCAGCCAGTTTAACACAAACAGAACTACTTTTTCCACACAACGCACACTCTGTAGACTTCATTACCAGAGGATGTTGTGAATGCCAAAAGTATAACTGGGTTAAAAAAATAATTAGATAAGTTCATGGAGGATAGGTCCATTAATGGCTATGAGCCAGGATGGACAGGGACACACCCCGTATCCTTAAATCACCAACTGCCAGAAGCTGGGACTGGACAACAGGGGATGGATCACTCAAAACTACCCTTTTCTGTTCATTCCCTCTGAAGCATCTGGCATCGGCCACTGTCAGAGACAAGATAGTAGGCTAGATGGACCATTGGTCTGAACCAGTATGGCCATTATTACTTTCTAACTTCCCATCTAACTTGCAGTCAGTTAGCTTCCAGCTTCTTTTTATTGCCTCTGCCTCATTTAGCTTTCCTCCCCTACAGTTGGGGAATACACTTTGCATTAGTGCTGCTTCCTTTATTTAGAAAACAAGTACTGTGTTGGAATAAAGTACCCTTTAAACATGGTATTGTGGACCTAAATGTGGAATTGTGCATTCATAAATGTCTTTAATCCAATTAGAAAATGATTATGCCAAGCAGGTCAAAGACTCAAGTCTCCCAATAAGAACAACAGGAGATTGGGGACAAATACAATGGTATTTTGTTTGATTTAGAGCTTTGGGATTAGGAACTAATCCAGTGTTCATTCTAGGTATTCACTAGTCTGGGCCCACTAACCCAAAGCTGCACAACGTTACAGATTAAAGCCCCTAGCACAATAATTGCAGTTTAACATAATTTACTTTACAAGAGAAGGTCTTTGGAGTGAGCGCATAAAGCTTTGACCTGGTTTTTAACAAAGCAGAGGTTCAAAAAAATAATTTCTAACAGAGTTTCTCAAACTGGGGCCTGCAGAGGCTTACTGGGACTCTCCAAATTCCTGGATCTCCTTCTAAAATGTGTCTATAGTAAAAACCCACTTGGTCTGGGCAGAAGGAATTTTTTCTGCCAAAATTTGAAGTGTTATTTAGGTCCAGAGTCTGATACTTACCGATACTGAGCAGCATCATACTTCTCAAGGGACCCCACTGACATTAGTGGAGACTCCCCAGATTGAGTAGTGAGTACCATTACTCACATTGGGTATCATAGAATTATAGAATATCAGGGTTGGAAGGGACCTCAGGAGGTCATCTAGTCCAACCCCCTGCTCAAAGCAGGACCAATCCCCATCTAAAATATCCTAGCCAGGGCTTTGTCAAGCCTGACCTTAAAAACGTCTAAGGAAGGAGATTCCACCACCTCCCTAGGTAACCCATTCCAGTGCTTCACCACCCTCCTAGTGAAAAAGTTTTTCCGAATATCCAACCTAAACCTCCCACACTGCAACTAGAGACCATTACTCCTTGTTCTGTCATCTGCTACCACTGAGAACAGTCTAGATCCATCCTCTTTGGAACCCCTTTTCAGGTAGTTGAAAGCAGCTATCAAATCCCCCCTCATTCTTCTCTTCTGCAGACTAAATAATCCCAGTTCCTGCAGCCTCTCCTCATAAATCATGTGCTCCAGCCCCCTAATCATTTTTGTTGCCCTCCAGTGGACTCGTTCCAATTTTTCCACATCCTTCCTGTAGTGTGGGGCCCAAAACTGGACACAGTACTCCAGATGAGGCCTCACAAGTGCAGAATAGAGGGGAATGATCACATCCCTCGATATGCTGGCAATGCCCCTACTTATACAGCCCAAAATGCTGTTAGCCTTCTTGGCAACAAGGACACACTGTTGACTCATATCCAGCTTCTTGTCCACTGTTAACCTAGGTCCTTTTCTGCAGAACTGCTGCCTCGCCACTCGGTCCCTAGTCTGTAGCAGTGCATGGGATTCTTCCGTCCTAAGTGCAGGACTCTGCACTTGTCCTTGTTGAACCTCATCAGATTTCTTTTGGCCCAATCCTCTAATTTGTCTAGGTCCCTCTGTATCCTATCCCTACCCTCCAGGGTATCTACCACTCCTCCCAGCTTACTGTCATCTGCAAACTTGCTGAGGGTGCAATCCACGCCACCCTCCAGATCATTAATGAAGATATTGAACAAAACCGGCCCCAGGATAGACCCTTGGGGCACTCCACTTGATACCGGCTGCCAACTAGACATCAAGCCATTGATCACTACCCGTTGAGCCCGACGATCTAGCCAGCTTTCTATCCACCGTATAGTCCATTCATCCAGCCCATACTTCTTTAACTTGCTGGCAAGAATACTGTGGGAGACCGTATCAAAAGCTTTGCTAAAGTCAAGGAATAACACGTCCACTGCTTTCCCCTCATCCACAGAGCCAGTTATCTCGTCATAGAAGGCAATTAGGTTAGTGAGGCATGACTTGCCCTTGCTGAATCCATGCTGACTGTCTGATCACTTTCCTCTCCTCAAAGTGCTTGAGTAGCATCAGAATCTAGCTCTACATTTAATGTTAATGGTCTTTACCTTCAGAAAGCTGGAGAAGCACTTTATTATTGGTCTAGATAATACTCAGTCCTGCCATGAGTGCAGGGCACTGGACTAGATGACCTCTCAAGGTCCCTTCCAGTCCTATGATTCTATGATTGTCCCTGACTCCACAGTGGCTTCCAAACAGATTGCTATTTGGTTCCATGGGCTAATGGAGACTGAAGGCCAAATTCAAAAGTGAGTCTAGGAGTTTAAACTGCTGTAAATAACAACTTTTGCTGGCCCCTTCAATGTACATTTAGCAGCAATTTAGACATACTATGGGCCAGATTTTACTACAATTCACTTACTGGGTATGTCTACAGTGGAGACTTTGTTCCTATTGTAGTTTAATTGACATATTTGTAAATGCTAATCTAGACTCTAGGACTCCCTACTAGGATTGACCTCAACCAGCTATATCGAGGCAAAAGTTGTTAACTTCTGTCTACATTAGGAAAAGGTCACGATTCGGTACATGTGTTAGATAATCTTGAACATGAGCTGCGCGTATAATAGGCTGGGGAAGGCTGTGCCTCCCCAAAGAGCCTTGCATGGTCCTGCCCCAAGCTCGCCTCCTGCAGCTAGTTGGCCCCAGCCCAGGCAGGCTGCTCCTCTTCCAGGAAGCCATGCGGCACTTACCAGGTGCTCTGGGGCTGGGGACACTTGGGTGACCTGGGGCTGTGGGCTGCGGAGGAGAAAAGGGTGTTAGGGGTGGGCCGGGCTGGGAGCTAGCCCCCCAAGCCCGAGGTTTACCCACCGCCCTGAATGGATAAACACAACGTATAAAATGGCTATCATCTTGGTAACTAAGCATCGTATCCTTTATATATCACCCCTACGTGAGCCAAAACACAAGCAGTTGTAGTGGGCTCCAGCTGCGCTAGTGATTTGTGCCTCTGGAGCTACATGGATCGACAGACTGATTTAGACAAGTGGTCTATCTAGTCCACTATCCTGTTTACAAGAGTAGCCACTACCAGCTGCCTCCAAGGAAGGTTCAGGAAATTCCACAGCAGTCAGTTAGCCATGGAATAACCTGCCCACAGGGGAAAAAAAAAACAAAAAACTTCCTCCCAGCCCCTAATTGACTCATGTCCTGAAGCAAGAGGGTTTATAATCCTCCCAAAACTCTTGTTCTTTTAAAAATCTTTACAATACAACTTTGGATAGTCTTGTGATCCATATCACTGTCCAATCCTTTTTGAACCCTGTAATCTTGGGGCAATGTGTTCTACAACCAAACTGCATTGTGTGAAAAATAATTGTTATTGCATTTTAAATGTCCTCTCTTTAATTTAATTGAATATTGTTTTGCAGCAAGTAAAAGGGAGCTTTCCTCGGCTTCAGACCTGCATTTCAGAACTTCGCTCCTTACCAAGAGAAGGCTCTTTCCAACAAAAGGGAGACAGAGTGATGCAGGCTGTGCAGGATGGGCTCCAGCAGTTTAAACAGTACACCAGACATATGCTAGCAGGAGGCTCAGTGAACAGCTCTGTTGAGGTAAGTAGAGTGCTGGGGAGATAGTAATAACCATCGAGTGCAGTCCATCTGTATATTTCAGGTTTCAGTCACTGTGGTAGCTAAGCATCATGAGAGGAAGTAAGTAGCATAAAACAATTCCAAAAAAGAGGAACCCCATAGCTTGCTCTGCAGGATGCCCAAGATCTCATGCCACATACAGATTCAAGTCACTCATGGAATATGGCCCTAGCTGTGAGAGGGAAGACAACTTGATGACAAGCATTAGCTGATTATTTTAACTTCCCATTTTGTACACAGTTAATCTCCAGGCATCCAAGACTGGATATTATTTAAAGTTGATTTTATTTCTTATGAGATCATAGTGAAACACACTGTGTGTATCTGCATACAAGATACTTTTTGATATGACTTCCCTGCCGGCCTACACTTACATTCTAGGGTCATGTTCTGCCTATATTCCCTGGATGGAATTTCCACTAACGTCAATGGGACATTTGTGCAAAGATCCTAGTTGTGGCTTAAAGTATGTCCACAGTTCATTAAAACATCAATTCAAATGGAAAAGCATTTTATTGTGGGATTAGTTGGCACAGTAGCAAAGAACAGGAAAAGCCTACAAAAAGATCATTATCTTAGCACAATCTTTAAATCAATTTTCAGTACAAAAAGCAAATAGGATCAGTATCTGGAAAACAGAGAAACTTTATAGTCAGCAATTAATTCTCTCAGCAGCAGCTTGAGACTTCTGTAGGAATCCTTGTCCCATGCACCCAAACACAGATCATCTACCATTTTGCATCTATTGTGTCCCCTCTTATTCATTGCCTCTCTAAAGTAAACAGCCCCAGTCTTTTCACTCTCTCACTATATGAAAGATTGTTGAAGCATCTAAACGTAATCTCCCATCTCTGAATCCCTTCTATTTCTGTTATATTCTTTTTGAGATGCAGTCACCAGAACTGAATACATGATCCAAGGAGAGGCTATCCCATTGATTTATATAATGGCATTGTAAATATTATTTCTCTAATAATGCCATATAATATACATTTTTTCTATCCTTAGATGCAGATGTGTAGGTTGTTTTTCATTCTTACATAATTTTGCTTTCTTCCCCCTCCTACTTCCCCACCCACCCCCACTTGGTGATGAAATGGTAGAGGGATTTGGCTGGGAGGAGGGGAATAAGTGATGGCTTTTAATTTCTGACCATTGTGATTCTGATTTGGGGTGTTTATTTCAGTGTTGGAGGGCAATACAGAGTAGGTGTAATTCAGGGGATGATACAATTACCTTCTCTAATTAATTTAACTGCAAATACATGCACAGCACAATCTTCCATTGCAGCTGAGGGAATGGGACAGTTAACTACAATATTAAATGATCTACAGATGTAGGTGGCATATATTCCACTAGATTTTCCCTGTTCCTCTGGTTTGTTAAAATTAGTCCATAATGTGTTGTGCAAGCACACATTACTGTGCAATTTTCACAGGGGATTTCTGGTTTCGGTTTTTCTGGCACACACCATAGTACAAAGGCTATCCACGTGTATAAGACTGTAAAAGGACTGTGGCCTAAGTTTTCAAAAGTAATTATTGACTGTGTCTCAGTTTTTGAATGCCCAACTTGAGACATCCTAAAAAGACCTAATTTTCATATAAATATATGCCTATCTCATAGAACTGGAAGGGACCCTGAAAGGTCATTGAGTCCAGACCCCTACCTTCACTAGCAGGACCAAGTACTGATTTTGCCTGAGATCCCTCTAAGTGGCCCCCTCAAGGATTGAACTCACAACCCTAGGTTTAGCAGGCCAATGCTCAAACCACTGAGCTATCCTTCCCCCCAGAGGGCAGGTGCTCAGTACTTCTGAAAATCAGGTTCTTTTTCATAAATTCAGAGATTATAAAACCAGAAGGGATCTCTTGTCTGGCTTCCTGCATAACGGACCATGGACTTGATTTCACCAAGTGATTCCTGCTTCAAACCCACATTTAGAAAGATATCCAGGGTTGGTTTAAACACCTCATTTGATGAGGAATCCACCAGACCCCAACACAAATTGTTCTAATAGTTAATTCCCCTCACTGTTCAATTTAACTTTATTTCTACTCTGAATTTTCCTAGCGTCAGCTTCCAGGGATTTGATCTTGTACTGCCTTTTTCTGCTAGGTTAAAGAGCCCTCTATTTTTAAGGTATCTCAAGTTAACACCCAAAAATCACTATTCACTTGAAAAGTTAAGCTTGTATTTTTAGAGGTCAATAGCAGCGATACCTATATTAAAGTTATGTAATGCTGACAAACCTGGTTGTTAGCGGGTGGGATTGAACCTGGGACCTTGGGAGCTAAATGCAGGAGCCTCTACTGCAGGGGTTCTCAAACTGGGGGTCGGGACCCCTCAGGGGGTCACAAGGTTATTACATGGGGGGTCGTGAGCTGGCAGCCTCCACCCCAAACCCTGCTTTGCCTCCAGCATTTATAATGGTGTTAAATATATAAAAAAAGTAGTTTTAATGTATAAGGGGGGTCGCACTCAGAGGCTTGCTATGTGAAAGGGGTCACCAGGACAAAAGTTGAGAGCCATTGCTCTACTGCATGAGCTAAAAGCCAGCTGCCGCTCAGCTAAGGCTGTAGAGCAGATTCATTCATCTCTAAGTGGTCTCGGTGCCATTAGAGGGGACAGAACATCACACTCAGGAGGTGTGTGGGTTACAGTTGCATATATACCTTCCATTATAACCTAACTTTTAATTTTGTCTCAGTTTGGCAAACTAACTGTTTGGGCTGAAGTAGACTAGGTTTCAGCTCTGGCTCAGGTTGTTCTTTTGTTTTGTTTTGTTTTAAAAACATTAGAGCAAAAACAATTAATCTGTTTCCAAGAACAAGGCTAGTGAAAAACAGGTAGTTTTGCCAATGGCAACAAAATTTCCTACCATTTACTGGAACAGCTCTAGCATCTCCATGGGTTGGAGCATGAATCTCAAATAGTGAGATAAGACTGGGGCCAGAGGAATGGACTTTGCATCCTCTTAAAAGTCCATCCAGATATGTCCATAATCCTTTGGGGGTATGTGGGGGAGGGGGAAGCGGGCGGGGGAGAATCACTATTTGCCAGGGGAAGACTGCCCACTTGAGAACCAAAGGGGACTTGTGATGGGGTGCACCACTCACCACTTGGCTGGCGCCTCCTCCTGCTCACTATAGGGATTAGCTCTCGAGGCCAACACCCCTTCCCATGGTCGCATGCCATTATGCCTTCTCTCTCTCAGGTCTGCATCTCCTCTCTCATCCCAGGACCCGCAGCATCCTCTTCATGACTCAGCCTTCTGGCCAGGTCACTCAACATTCCCCCTTCCAGGGTATATCAAAGTCTTTCCTTCAGCAGTCTTCCCATTCACTGCCTCAGGTACCACTCCTAACCCTAAACCCGCATTAGCTTTTTTCACAGCCATATCACATTAGCAGCTCATAGTCATCCTGTGATCAACTAATACTCCAAGGTCCTTCTCCTCCTCTGTTACTTCCAAGTGATGCGTGGCATGCGTCCCCAGTTTATAACAAAAATTCTTGTTATTAATCCCTAAATGCATGACCTTGCACTTTTCACTATTAAATTTCATCCTAGTACTATTACTCCTGTTTACAAGGTCATCCAGATCTTCCTGTAGGATATCCCGGTCCCTCTCTGTATTGGCAATACCTCCCAGCTTCGTGTCATCCTCAAACTTTATTAGCACATTCCCACTTTTTGTGCCAAGGTCAGTAATAAAAAGATTAAATAAGATTGGTCCCAAAACCAATCCCTGAGGAACTCCACTAGTAACCTCCTTCCAGCCTGACAGTTCACCTTTCAGCATGCCCCGTTGTAGTCTCCCTTTTAACCAGTTCCTTATCCACCTTTCAGTTTTCATACTGATCCCCATCTTTTCCAATTTAGCTAATAATTCCCCATGTGAAACCGTATCAAATGCCTTACCGAAATCAAGGTAAATTAGATACACTGCGTTTCCTTTGTCTAAAAAATCTGTTACCTTCTCAAAGAAGGAGATCAGGTTGGTTTGGCACGATCTACCTTTTGTAAACCATGTTGTATTTTGTCCCAATTACAATTGACCTCAATGTCCCTAACTACTTTCTCCTTCAATCTTTTCCAAGACCTTGCATACTACAGATATCAAACTAACAGGCTTGTAGTTATCCGGATCACTTTTTTTCCCTTTCTTAAAAATAGGAACTATGTTAGCAATTCTCCAGTCATACGGTACAACCCCTGAGTTTACAGATTCATTAAAAATTCTTGCTAATGGGCTTGCAATTTCATGTGCCAGTTCCTTTAATATTCTTGGATGAAGATTAGCTGGGGCCCCCGATTTAGTCCCATTAAGCTGTTCGAGTTTGGCTTCTACCTCGGATGTGGTAATATCTACCTCCATATCCTCATTCCCATTTGTCATCCTACCATTATCCCTAAACTCCTCATTAGCCTCATTAAAGACTGAGGCAAAGTATTTGTTTAGATATTGGGCCATGCCTAAATTATCCTTAATCTCCACTCCATCCTCAGTGTTTAATGGTCCGACTTCTTCTTTCTTTGTTTTCTTCTTATTTATATGGCTATAGAACCTTTTACTATTGGTTTTAATTCCATCATGACTACTATTCCACCATGTTTCTGTTATCCCTATAATTTCTGGTTTCACTTCCTGCACCAATAGCTCTAGTTCCTCCATTTTGTTACCTAGGCTCCTCGCATTAGTTTACAAACATCTTAATTTTTGCTGTTTGGCTTCTCTCACTTTCTTTACCCAATTAGGCACAGACATTCTGTCACCAGTATCACCTATTAAACTGGTATCTACACTACTCTTCCTCCTTATGTCCTTTCTCCTACCCACTGCTGTATCCTTTCTTACTTCGTTTTCTTCCCTTTCAATGTTAAAATCCAGCGTGGAGATTACCTGGACATCTCCCAACCATCTCCCCCAAATTCCTAGTTTAAAGCTCTCTTAATCAGTTGTGCCAGCCTCCATCCTAGACGTCTATTTCCCTCCCTACTCAGGTGAAGTCCATCCCGAGAGAACAGTCCTCTGACCATGAATGCTTCCCTGTGGCCATACATCCCAAAGCCCTCCTTATAGCACCACTGCCTGAGCCATCTGTTGATCATCATAATCTTGTCACACCTTTGTTGCCCTTCTCTAGGAACAGGCAGAATCCCACTGAAGATCACCTGAGCTTCGATTTCCTTAAGCGTCTTCCCCAGTCTGGCATAGTCTCCAGCGAGAATCTAGCCGTATCATTTGTTCCCACATGAAGGACAATCAGCGGATTCTTTCCCGCTCCCGTTAGGATCCTCTTCAGCCTCAGGTCCACATCCTGTATCTTAGCACCAGGCAGACAGCACACCCTTCTGTTCTCTGGATCAGCTTTAGTTACAGGCCTGTCTATTCTTCTCAGTAAGGAGTCCCCAATCACATAGACCTGCCTTTTCCTGGTGATGGTGCGATTCTCCGGTCTATCCTCGTTCCCTCTGGCTGCAAGTCCTCTTGATTCCTATTGTCCCTTGCAATCCTCTGCAACCCATCCCGTATTCTCCTGGGGCTCATATTTGGTGTTGTTATCTCCATTGACTCTTCCCCTCTTCCTATAGGACTAGCTTCTCTTCTCTTCTTCCTTGCCCTCTCACCTTCAGCGACCACCTTCTTCATTTTCCAACTCCGCAAACCTGTTCCTGAGCTCTATTTCTCCTTCACTAGCCCGTCTTTTCCTCTGCCTGGTTCGCTTAGTCACATGCTTCCACTGTCCACTTTCCTCATCCAGCAGATTCCCCTCAGAGTTCTTTGGTCCTGCTTCTATTTGCAGGTCTGAGCTTTTCCCTTCAGACTCCTCATGTCTTTGCTCCATCATCCACACGAACCCCCTTCTAAACTCAACCAGAGTTTCCACCTGCATCTCCAATCCTTGGATCTTTTCTTCCATCGGCTCTATCAGGCGGCACTTCATGCAGACGAAACTCTTTTCAGGTACCCCCTCCAGGATCATGTACATGCCGCAGCTTCCACATCCAGTCATCTTCATTGTGTCTTCCACTGTTTGGGTCACTACCACTGCTGCCTCTGTATCTGTCATAGCCTTCTCACCTAAGTCCTGTTAGTCCGAGAAACACAAACCAAACCAAAACACCACCACCCACAGAAACAGAAACCCCCAACGAGCACCAAAACACTGCCAGACCACTACACACTCCCTTCACTAGCCTGGCTCTCTTAGTCTTCCCCTCAAACTCCCTTTGCAAACTCCCACTCAAACTCCCCTGTTTACAGCTCTCTGTTTACTGGCTCCTGTGCCACTGCAGCTGTCTATGCTGCTGCCTGACTGGCTGGCTACCTTTATAGGACCCCTAGTCAGAGAAGCCCCTCTCCCTAATCAGGGCTCAGCTTCT